ACGGGGAGAACTCGACGGCGTAGCCGTGACGGCCCGGCACCCGCAGCGTCCGCACCGCGCTCATCCCGCCCGCCCGCAGCCCCGCGGCCTCCCCGCCCAGGCTACGGAAACTGCCGCGAGGAAGAAGCACACCGCGGAGACTCTCTCAGAGAACTTAGGTAGTCCAGGAAGGCCGGGCGGAAGTGAGGACGCCGACGCCCGGAATCCTGGATTCTGATTGGGCCACGTATAAGGGGGCTGACGCCATGGAGACCATTTTTCTTTTGGGCAATCATCCTCCATTTGCTCTGGCTGAAATCAGCTGACCTTCTAGAAGTTGTTCTAGAACTAAGGGAGAAGGTTCGAGTTAGGGGACACTTCTGACAGCTGTTCATGTTCCATCGCAGCCTCTGTGGCGGGTCAACTTGTGTTTTTAATAATTTCTTGATCTTTCAAAACATTGCTATTCTGTTATTTTTCTGATGATTACAAAATAAAAACCACAGCAAACTCTGAAAGCAGCTAATGAGTTCAAAGATAACAAATAGAGTGCTGTGTTGCCCAAGGTAATTTGAAGCGGAACAATGGAGCTAAGGGAAAGAACTGTTATCATATGCAATTAACTGTCTTTAGATGTTATATAGTTGCACTGTGCTCATATCTCCGGGTAATTAAGGAAAACTTGGAGTCATTAGTTCGTTCATTCAAACATTTGCCAAGCATGTGCAGAGTGGAGGATGAATATGTAATTTGCCAAACCAAACACTGACAAGTGAAAGAGATTATTGTTACCTTTAAACCACTCAACCTGCACAGACCAAGTCATACGCCAAGCACAGGGCTAGGTTTTTCATGAAACTCAAAAGGTGCTGCTGGGGTCCGCAGTTGAACTCAGGAGATCACAAGATAGGAAAACTGTTAACTGTACTGAACATGCTGTTGATGTTAAGATAAACATATTACAAGTGTTTTGGAAGGGAAGTGGGCAGGAAAAGCTTTAGGAAGGGGGTCATCGGGGTGAATGCATGTGGTGAAGTGGGTTTTCCTTTAAGGGAAGAGCTGGAAGCCATTGTGGGATCAGAAGAAAGGTGAAAACCCAGGAGACCTAAATCTAAAAACCCAGAAGACCTAAATCCGTAAGAGATGGAAGCTCTTAGTGCTCTACATGCAGATAGAGGGCATGGTGAAGGGTACTTTATGTAGACAAGGCGTCAGCAGCACTTTCTGTGCTCAAACGTGGTCTCGTACACTGTACACAAGGAACGAGACTTTGGCTGCAGTTTAACTAGCAGAGAACTATTCAGACTTTCAAGTGTGAAGCATTAAGTGAGTTTCATTCACTAGCAGTGCTAACTGGAGACTGGAGATTAGTGATGGGAATGCCATTTAGAGACTTTAGCAATAATTCAAGCAATAGATGGTAAGCCAAGATGGGGTAGTGGTGTTTTGTTGAGAGCTATGGTAAAGGGTGGGGTTAAGGGTCAAATAAAGACGAAAAGTTCAAATTTTTCCCAACTTTCTTACTTAGTGCCTATATCAACACAGAAATTGTTTATTGAAATATGAACAATGGGAGCTTGTGGTGATATTTTGTTTGTCTTTTAACAAGTAAAGCTTGCCTGAAGAACAGAGTGCAGAGCTAAGACACTAGAGGCCATGCAGTGACGGCACACACCTTTAATCCCAGGACTCTGGAGACAGAGGCAGGCAAGATTGATCCCATCTCAAAGAGAAACAGAGTCAGGGAATGGTGGCCCACACCTTTAATCTCAGCACCAGGGAGGTGGAGATGGGAAGTAATAGGGCTGGGCGGAGAGAGGATTATGATGCAGAAGAAGACAGGAGCTGAGAAGCAGTCTGAAGATAAAGTCAGAGGGTGCAGTCTGAGAATTAGTAGAGACAGGATCTCCCCGTCAGTCTTAGGATTCAAGAGAAGTAAACTGGCTTTTTGGTGGTTGGCCACACTGCTTCTCTGATCCTTCAGCTTTCACCCCCTAATGTCTGACTCTAGGTTTTATTTATTAAGACCAATTAGAATTCATGTTACAGGAAAAGAAGCAAGTTTGGGATGACAATAAACTCCAGTTTAGCATGTCGAATGCAGATTGTGTGTAGTGCTTGATGCAGCAGAACAGAGCCCTGACAATGCATGTAGATAATATTTAGGCCATGGGAATGATTGTTTTCCCTTAGGAAGAGAATGGTATAAAAAGAGAAGAAGGCTAAAGACAGAAAATGGGGACACACTGCCACATGAAACCTTGGCAGCGAAAAAGCTATAGAAGGTTAAAGAGATCCACAAGATTGATACTGTCAAGCTGGGAGGATTTGCATGCTATCTTCTTATGTAGATTCAGATGCTTAAGGAGTGGGTTAGACCAGGGTTCTTAATGCTATGTCTGGTGAGTTCCTGGTTTCCATAGCTGTACTGAGTGCAGAGTAGACCAAAAACTGTGGCAATTATTATGATCATAGCAGGTAAGGATTTGCTATCAGAAGCTCAGATGTTTAAGAAATGGAGCATTTCTTTATTTTTTCCCAAGGAATTTACATATACGTCCCTATGGGGAGCCAAAGAAGGCTTGAGTGAGTGTGTTGGGGAATGTGGTGCGGGAGAATTATCTGTATTCTGTCAATCATATTTTAATAAAACGCTGATTGGCCAGGCAGGCAGTATAGGCAGGAAAGCCAGACAGGAAGTAGAGGTGGAGCAAAGAGACTGGGAGTATTCTAGGAAGCTCCCTCTGTCAGTTCTGCCCAGACCACTGGAGAGGAAAGATGTAAGCTGCCCCGCTGAAAAAGGTACTGAGCCATGTGGCTAACGTAGATAAGGATAATGGGGTAACATAAGTTATAAGAGCTAATAAGTAGCCTGACCTAATGGGCCAATCAGTTTTATAATCTTATGGAGTCCTGTGTGTGATTTTCTTTGTGACTTGCCGGCAGTAGGTTATCGGGCAGGAACAGAAACCCCAACAAGCCGGCCCTCATGTTACAGGAATGTTATTTTCAGCTGTGTTACTTTTGTTTATGCTGCATTTTATTAACTGTGAAGCTGTGATTCTCTGCCTGTCTAGAACACCTGATGGTCCTAATAAAGAGCTGAATGGCCAATAGCAAGGCAGGAGCAAGGACAACAAGCAGAGGGTATAAATAAAGGGAGAAATCTGGGAGGAGAGAAAAGAAGGAGCAAGAGGGGGAGGAGAGGAGGACACCAGGGGTCAGCCACCCAGCTACACAGCAAGCCATGGAGAAAGAAGTAAGTATACAGAAATAGAGAAAGATAAAAGTCCAGAGGCAAAAGGTAGTTGGAGTAATTTAAGAAAAGCTGGAAAGAAGCCAAGCTAAGGCTAGGCTTTCATAACTAAGAATAAGACTCTGTGTGTGATTTATTTGAGAGCTGGGTGGTGGGCCCTCAAAAAGCCAAAAGAATAAAACATCACGCAGCATGAATGTGTAGAGAACAGATGAAGACCTGAGGGAATGTGTGCTGCTTAACATGGGCACAGCCATGTCAGGAACAGCAATGCCTCATACCCATGGGAACAGCCAGAGCCTTTCCAGAGTGAGGCTGAGAGGGACAGATGGTACAGACTTCCTCTGCTCTAAGTGTGAACCTTGATAGTGTGTGTAAGTACAAGTGTGTACTTGTGATTGACTAGTGCTTATAAAACCTAGCAACTGGTGGCTTCGGCCTCCCAGACAGTTGCAGCCTGAGACTGTTGTCCTCTGAGAGCCTTGTCCTCGCTTCCCGCAGAAACCAGCTAACCTCCTCCTGTGCTGTACATAATAAACATGCTGACATTCTGGCTCTTGATGTCAGCTTTCCAGGACATGAGTCTGTGTGTCTTTTCTTCCTGTGTGTCATTCCCTCACTACCGCAGTCAGGTTTCCGGGACCAAGTCATGCTGGAGGCAGCATATCCCCCTTAACTTAGAAAAATCCGATCTTAACTTGTTTAAGGCTTTCGGCATTCAAAGGAGGGCATGTTAGCCTCTGACCTAGATTATAAAGCTCATCAAGACAGCATCAGGATGTTGTTCACTCTCCAGTAATTAAACGGGACCTGGCAAATGGTGAAGCGTCCTGTCTTCAGACAGCTCCCCCAGTTGAGTCTGAGCGGGCGTGTGAACGTGCACTTGAGTGTCATGCTGGACATTAAAAAGATACCTGAGGTCTCCATAAATTAGCGGTCATATCTCATACTTCTCAAAGGAGGTAGGTGGGCTACCTCCTTTCAACCTCTTCTTCATTACTGACTTTGCAGAGTCACCTCTTAAGTTGTCCCTCCCCAAGGACACCTCAGTGCTCTTGTTCAGTGAGTACATGCCTTCACCAAAGGTTTGGCCAGCTACTATGCCAAGTAGCTGGAGGTAGGGGCCACATAGGTGCTGGTCACCTAATCGAATGAAGGAAAAATAATGAACCTGTAGGAAAACACAATATCCTAATTGTCCTGTAGCTCTGTTAATATATATGAAAGGATATTGATCAACTATTTAATCCATAACATCAGGATAATAAATACGTAGAGGCAGACTGGCTGGGAACTATGCCACCTCTCACTTCCAAATGAGACAAGCCCCCAAATCTTACTCTCTATTACCTCAGAATCTTGTGAGGTGACTTTCTTAAAGCAGATTCTTAGGACACTTCAGGGGCATATTCATTCAAACTCTCAGGATAAAATCAGACACAGGGTTTGTTTGTTTGGTGCTAGGGACCAGCCCAGACCTTCTTAAGCAATGCACATGCTCTAACATACAACCAGCTGGACCCACAGCCCAGAAATTTATTAGACCATGAGTACACTCCATGTAAGACTTACGTCATCGTGGAAGCTTGCGCCCAACGGAGGCATTTGTATATCTGTTTGTCCCAGGACCTTTGCACCCAGGTCCAGCGCATGTGGTGGTACTTCACTTGCTTTCCCTATGTGCTGTTTTTGAGGATGATACAAGATGGATTACCCAATCCTGAACCGGTGTCAACGTGAAGATCACTCGTGGTTGCCGACACTGGCAAATCCAATCCCATGTGAAACTGTTATTCTGATTACATAAAAGGCTCTCTGAACTCACAGGCAAAGGAGCAAAGTAACCGGCCTGTGCTTTTCAAAACTAATGACGGGTAAACCAAGAGTTTAGCTGGACTCAGTGTCACACATCTGGAATACCAGCAAGTCACAGACTGGGAAG